ATTTCACAGTGTTTATTTTTTTTAACATACATTGCATGTATGTAAATTTTCTGTCATTTAATGATTTTGAACATATCATAAATACATTTAGTTTATTTAATCATTGTTCTTAAATCATATTTATCGTATCTATATTTAACTCTGCAGAGTTTTAGAGTAATTCTAGAATTATATTTAGCGCTTTATAAATTCTCGTATAATAATAATAAAAACTAGATGAGATCTCGTTGCGAGCAACGAGTGGGTCTTCCGTCCGATTTTTGATAAGATGTGATAAGAATTTGACTGAGACTTTCGTTCAAATATAATGATATAAATAAATTGTTAAGACGACCAATTTTGCTTCAGTAATCTATAACAAAATATTGATCATTAAAGATTATAGATGAAAGACCTTCGGCCCGTCTTGGCCCCTACTACACTTTTTGTTCAACAACTATGCAGAAATTCTTTTTCGTTTCCGAGATATATGCAAAAGAAATATTTAGGGGCCGGCCTTTCAACTCCTTAATGGAGACGTTTAGCAAAAGTTGAAGGTTACATATTGTGCAGAACATTATTGTGAACATCTTTTATTCAATATTGCTTATCAAAATATTTCCCACTTTCGAGATATAAAGCGTCAAAGGTTTTGCATTCTGGCCCCTAATGTCCCCTTATAACGTAACATATGATGCCACCAACATGTTATATAGTTAAGGAAAGTGAAGATGATCTATTTTGCCTTAGTAATGTATTACAAAATATTGATCGTTTAAGAGTTATTGATGAAAGACTTTCGGCCCCTATCGGCCCTTATTTTGAGGGGCCAGTCCCTTTTTCTTGATATCACCTTAAAGCTCTTATGATTTTGAACACTTTTTGTTCAACAACTATTCAGAAATTCTTTTTCGTTTTCGAGATGTATGCAAAAGAAATATTTAGGGACCGGCCGTTCAACTCCTTAATGGAGACGTTTAGCAAATATTGAAAGGTTACATATTGTTCAGAACATTATTGTGAATATCTTTTATTCAATATTGCTTATCAAAATATTTCCCACTTTCGAGATATAAAACGTCAAAGATTTAGTATTTCGGCCACTCACGACCCATAATTATGTAACATATGATGTGAATAACATAATATATACTTGTAGTTTGCTCAGATAAACATTTTTGCTGCAGTAATATTTTACAAAATATTGATCGTTAAAGAGTTATTGATGAAAGACTTTCGGCCCCTATCGGCCCCGATTTTGAGGGGCCAGCCCCTTTTTCTTGATATCACATTAAAGCTCTTATGATTTTGAACACATTTTGTTTAACAACAATTCAGATTTTTTTTTCGTTTCCGAGATATATGCAAAAGAAATGTTTAGGGGCCGGCCCTTCAACTCCTTAATGGGGACGCTTAGCAAATATTGAAAGGTTGCATATTGTTTAGCACATTATTTTGAACATCTTTTGTTCAATATTGCTTATCAAAATATTTCCCACTTTCGAGATATAAAGTATCAAAGATTTAGCATTCTGGCCCCTTATGGCCCTTAATTTTGTAACATATGAGATTTTTATCATAATATATAGTTGTAGATTGTTCAGATAAACATTTTTGCTTCAGTAATGTATATCAAAATATTGATCGTTTAAGAGTTATGGATTTAAGACTTTTGGCCCCTCTTGGCCCCTAATGTGATAAGTCAGCCCTTTTTTCTTGATATCATAAAAAAGATCCTATTATTCTACACAATTTCTGTTCAATATGTTTTAAGAAAATATTTATAGTTTTGAAGATATGATAGAAAATGTCTCGAAAATTCACTCCTGATTCATGTCCTAAATTTTGACCCCTACCGAGCTTCCATACTAGGCACTTCCAGAAAATTTGAAAACTGAGGTGCACAACTAGAACATGTCCTCTATTATCACTGAAAATTTCAGCACTCTAGCTTTTGTCATTTTTTAGTTTTTGTGTAGACAAAATGGTCACTAAAAATTCGATTAAAGGGCGATAACTTCCGACCGGAAGTGAATTTCCAAAAAATAAAGAAAATGTATTAGGTTTACATCAGGATACATCATCTCTGAAAATTTCAAGTGAATCCATCCAACCATATCCGAGAAATCGTCTGCACAAAATTTGGACAGAAAAAAATAATAATAATAATAGTGAAAAAGAAACAATAGAATAATAGAAGGGTCTTCCGTTGGAGACGGAAGACCCTAAAGATAAAAGATCAGCTACAAAAATGATGATCTACAGGGCTCTTCCTATGTCAATTATATGTGATTTACAGCTTAATAACTGTAAACATAGGACCGTTTTGTATAAGATATGTTTTTCCAAAATTTATGGCGGCATATCTTTGCAACTATTTTATGTTCAATTTGAAAGATGTTTATGTAATCTTGTCCGATATTTACGTTAATATTTCAGATCTTTATGTCGACTTGACCAATAACAAACATCATGACTATTGAATCGGTATACTGTTATCAAATTGTGTTAATACCACTAAGAGGACGGTCAACTGATTCTGAATGGGTGAAGGGGGGGGGGGGGGTTCGAGTCAGATTATTTATTTCTATTTCCATGTCATTTTAGGGCAGAATACCTATTGCCAAGGTGACCAGGTACAGATTATTTAGTTTCCTTACTTGATAGGTTTGCAAAAAAGAAAAAAAAGGAACCACGAATTTAAAAAGTCTTTGGGGATCGCGGTTAGCGAACCAGCCAATGGATGATTATAAAATCTATTTCAGGAAGGGAGTAAGATCCAGTGAATTTTAGATTTTCTCCCTAGTAGAGGACACCTTATTTCAAATTTTCAAGGACGGATTCACGGCGGGGGGGGGGGGGGGGGGGGGGTCCAATTTCATATTTTAACTACTTTATTATTACGCTGAAAAATCAGGATTGCGTGTCCAAGCCAGAGTTTTTATGACTTATATATATATAAACGAATAATTTAAAAAAAAAAAAAAAAGGAACAAAAATGAACAAAACAAAACACAGTAACAAACACATAAAACAAATATCAAAATCAGAAACGAAAACAAACAGAAACTTTTTCGGGGTGAGGCTAGGGGGGTAATGAACACTCCTGAAGCAGTAGCTTATTTCCTTCTAGTACATAATCTCCAACACTAACATCCTTGTTAACATCCACGTTACCTTGGATGGTACTATTTCATTTACTATAGATATTAAACTCTGAAAATCCTTAAAGGGGAGAGTTCCGACTCCCCCCCCCCCCCCACTCGATCCTGTACTGTACAAAATAAGTAAGTGTCACGGAGTTCGTTGTTTAACTATTTAGTGAAATAAGGCAGTGAAAGTCCTCGAAAGATCACTTTAAGCTGTTATAAAAAATCCCCTTCTCAAGATGAATATACATGTAGTTACTACTGTATGCATGAAAAAGTACAGGTATGCGCCATGCCTTAATCTAACAAATACGTAAATTACGAATCTAGACATATTTAGGAAAATTCTGGTTTCAGTTAGACTATTGCAAATATAAATAAAATTATTTTTGAATTAAATAGTATGTTGTGTTAACCATATATACTGTATATTCTAGATTTAGACATATTTTTTTTATATAAATATTACCTAACACATTGCGATTATTCGCGAAAACTTTCACTACAAATAAAATACTTTCATATTTTAAGGGTTCTACGGAAAATTCTTCTTTAAAATGTGTCATGCTTTTTACAAAAAGTGTCCATTTAAAATTAAAGATATTTACATGTTAATCTAAAGAATAAAAATGAATTAAGTGTAAATTTTTAATTGATTAAATCATACCGGTCAAGGTAGCCTAGTGGAAGGTCGTTTAGAATGGACTAATAAACGATTTTATTATATAGCTAATAAATAGACTACAATGAAAAAAAAAACCTACTAAAAGTCTAGAGAATTTTAGCGTTCAATATATTGTTGTTTCATTGAACGTTGAGTTTGAATGACGTATATGAGTATGCCCGAAACATTCCGAATACGAGTGTTCAATATCGAACACCCAGTTGTAAACAAAAAAATGTGATAGGCAGTGGAAGCTAGGTAAGATATGTTTATATTTCACAAAAAATTAAAATTATTAATTAATAATTTAATACGTTTTAACCTCAATAAAACCTCAATAAGCAAATCATACCGTTTGGTAGGGTCATTGGAATGATGCAATATTGAACATTTATAGGACAGACGCTAATTTAAATACCGATACTGAAATATTCTTATTAATTTGAGTTATTTAATTGAAATAATTAATATAAATCTTTGGAAGATGTTTTAGCTATATAATAAAGGAGTTATTGAATGTAAATTTGTGAATATTGACACTCGGTTGCTTTACAAATGCACTCTCAAGCTCCTGCATTTGTACAGCGAACTCGTGCCAATATTCAACAATATAAGTTCAATAACCCCATATTATTTATCGTACATTGAATTTATATGTATACATGATTTCATAGACATGTTTAAGAAAGGACGCGCATACTCCTTAATTTTCGGGGAATAGAATGTGACAGCCTATCTTCATGCCCCTTATACTCTGTTTTACAAAGAGGACTTAAAAATTGAAGACCAGCGCAGAAACTCAAGGATGCAAACTTTTTCAATATCCGAGCTGGAAATAAAACAGTTACAATGAATATTTCAACCAATGAGTAGAAACTAATTAATCATGCAATTGATAATAAAAGATATTTTGACTCGAAGTGTGCTCAGAAAGGACATGAGTAAACTTGTCCAGAAGGAAATTCACAGGGGGTATTGCTCTTAATCAGATTGTATCATGGCCTTGACGCAAAATCATTTGGACTTCAAGATCACTGACAGAGAAACTGTAAAATTCGCTAACAGTTTCTCGATCTACTGGTACTCTTGGAACATTGGAATGTTGATACCTCCTACAAAGATTGCTAATGACCAGAGACTGTGTCATGGCCTTATCTCAAAGTCACTATAGGAAAACCTTTTCGTTGCTTTGCAACGAGCTTTGCTAGTTTCATTTCATTTTCCTTTAATGCATTCAAACTTTTAAAAAATGCACTGATCTGTTTAACAACTATCTATAATTACACGACATCTAAAAATGTTCCAAGTATTCAATATCTAACGGCTAAAACAAATATAATTATGCATTTTGTATTTAATTTGAATTCAGTTGTGCTTAATTCAAAAAATCCTCGGGTATATTTGTTTTGTCTTGTCTCTGCAAAAAATCGTTCGCTCTGTCCATTATCATCTTAAGATTCGACAATGCCAGTACATCTTTTTTTGGATCAGGGACAGTCTCCATATGGTAATTTGACATCGGTAAAACGTTCATTTCAGGAAGTACCATAAAATCTGCAATGACTTTCAACTTGTTGTAAACTTCATTGCTCTTGAAAAGCAGTGAAATGTCATCGGACAACGATGCTCGGAGCCTGTCGACCTTGTTCATCAGAACTAGCTGTGGCAGATCTGAAATATATATATATAGAGAGAGAGAGGGAGAGAGAGAGAGAGAGAGAGATTGAGATTTTTACAACTATATAGCTTTCTATAACTTACTTTTATAACTTTATATAAAATTCAATCTTTGATCTTGTATCTATTTAATGGATTCGACACATAGGATAAAAAGTGTTGTTGGTTTTCCAGTGCTCTCTCTCTCTCTCTCTCTCTCTCTCTCTCTCTCTCTCTATATATATATATATATATATATATATATATATATATTGAAAAAGTTATTATCTATATCTATTTTCTTCAGTACATGCAAATTTCATTTTAATAATTTGAACTTTTTAAAGTTTTTACACAAAACGAGATGAGGTACTTAAAGATGATAGTTTTAGAAAATAAGGGACTCACTTAATGGAGCCAATAATTTTCGCATATTGGCAAATATCTCAACAGCCGATTCATCAGCTAATGCTGCCTTTGGGTTGTCGGCGTTTACAACATATACAAGACAATGCATTTTGTCTCCAAGTTGTGCATCAAGTCGATACTTTGCATGATTACTTTGTATTGATGCACCTGGATTTATCTATAAAAAAGGGAAAATATTGAAGTGAAAAATTCTTGTACATATTTACTTATGATAATAATAAAGAAGTTATAGCTCTGTTACTTACATACATAAAGTTATTTCATTTGATATTCTGTAGTTCTGTCGATGTTGTGATGAAAATTTAAACATTAAATACTCAAATGTTGCTCTTTTACATACCTACATTGTCCCATTCGTTATACATTGTGTTTATCATTCTGCTACACAAGCGGAAACAATACACAGTTAGAAATCAATACTTTACGAATAACTATACCCTATCTGAAATATACCCCCATCTGACCCCATCTGAAATATGCTTAAATTACATTCCACGTGTATTTTGCTTATAAAGTGTGTGGAAAGCTACCGTATATAAAGCACCATAATACAGACGGAGAGGTCAAAGTGTTAATGTGTGATTTTTATTTTTACGTCACAAACGTCAAACGCCGTGCAAGGGTACTGTCATAAGGTCAGAGAAATTCAAAATTCACGTTCATTTTTAAAAGTTAAACATAAGTAACTGTTGCAATGGCTTTTCTCTTAATTGTAACTTACCCAAAGGATAATACAGAGGTTTATTATTGTTAATTGCATTTGCAGACAAGGCAGGGAGTTAAAAAAAATAAATATAAGTCATTGAATCATTTTTGAAAGATGCAGTCTCATAACTGCGAACGCGTGTTACTCAAGTTGTTTGCACACACTGTTGCAGCTATGAGACTATATTTGTCAAAAATTAATAATAATCCTCTGCTTAAATATTCAAATCATGTAAATGTAAGCAGGGGGTTTTTGCAAAGTTAAATGCAAATGATGGAGAAACTAATTTAATAAGAAATGTTATAGCATATAAGTAAAAATATTTCTTCAAGAATTATCAGAGAAAGTGTACAGATTAATAAATATGAATATCAGATATCATTACATTATGCTTGAAAATTTGCATCGTTAGTAAATTTGTCAACTTAATCATTGAATATCATGAATGTTGACAATTGTGCGTACAAATGATAAAGTTAGGAAAATATTTACTTATATCATTTGAAAATCTGTTCCATTCACAAATAAAATATGTATACGTTCATTTTTTCTAATATCACGATATTATTTTTATAATCTTTAATTGAATACTCAAACATTGAAAAAAATCCTAATCAAGAAATCAACAATAATAAGAATAATGTGGTGACAAGCAAATTAAGTTCATGAGTACCTGATATCCACTTTTGATATGGCCTTCCACCATTTGTCGAACGTCCTCTGGCAACACTCCAGCAACATTGTGAAGACCACGACAGTCAAATATTCGTACTGGCAATGTTTTTTCGTCCTTGGTGTATAATGCGTGGGTTTCAAACTTCAAGATTCATTAAGTAGTAATAAATGTCTTTAACGTTAAAGTTTTTGAATTAGATCACTTAAATTTTCAACTTATAGCTAAAAATACGTACAGTGGAGGTAACACTCTTTTCAGATGGCTTGTATACAGTCAATGGAGCCAAAACCGTATCCTTATTTTTGAGAGCTGAAGCACATGTATTGAAAAATGAAGTTTTTCCAGAAGCAGCTTGGCCTAGTAGCATGCAATTTAGGTATTTCACTCCACCCTTAATTTGATAGTTAGAAACTTCATATAATAACTCGTCTTTATCCTAAAGAACAATTCAAAAATATTTTGAATACCGAATAAAATTATCTATTACAATTCATTTACTATTATGTAAACATTTTTATCTACTAATTGACTTTAACATCGAAATTATAAATATAGATTTAATTTCTCATTTAAAGAATTTTAACCAAACTAAATTCGTTCCCCTTACTAACCCCTACGGTACAAAGTTGGAAATAAAAGCAATATAATAAATAATAAATAAAATATTTGTAGAGCGCCCTATTTGATAAAAATTACTCTAAAGCGCTTAACAATAAGATTATAGTAAAATAAATGTACGAGATATAGTAATTAAAGCTTTAAAAAAAAAAAAAATAAGAAAATGAAAGATGGATAAAAAAGGAGAAATATACAAGAAAATGAAGAGTTAAATAAAATAAGAAAATCAGATATTTGCACTTGAGACATTTAAAAAAAAAATTATAGGGGTTAAAACTCAGGAAAAGCAGTCTTAGAAAAAAGTATGCTTTTAGCAAGTTTTTGAAAACATCCACACTTTGTGCCAATTTTATGCGTGTTGGAATTCATTTCATAAACTGGCGGCAGCTCAACTAAAAGTCTGTTCTCCAAAAGTCTTAGTTCGAACTTTTGGAACTACAGCTAGTTCTTATCGATGTTTCCGATCTTAGTGATCGGGCTGGTTTATAAACTTCAATAAGTTCTTGTAGATATGAAGGAGCACATCCAAACAGGAGCACCAGTCTCTTAAATTGTAGTAATGTAAACAATGAAAACAAGTTCTATTTTATGCTGTGGGTCTATCATTTTATGCTGTGGGTTTATTATTTTATGCCTTGGATCTATTATTATTTGCTGTGGGTCTATTATTATATACTGTGGGTCTATTATTATATGCTGTGGGTCTATTATTATATACTGTGGGTCCATCATTAAAAGCTGTGGGTCTACTATTATATGCTGTGGGTCTATTAATATATGCTGTGGGTCTATTATCATATGCTCTGGGTCTATTAATATATGTTGTGGGTCTATTATTATATGCCGTGGATCTATTATTATTTGCTATGGGTCAATTATTATATGCTGTGAGTCTATTATTATATGCTGTGGGTCTATTATTTTATGTTGTGTGTTTATTATTTTATGCTGTGGGTCTATTATTTTATGCTGTGGGTCTATTATTATATACTGCTGGTCTATTATATGTCTGGGTCTATTATTATATGTTGTGGGTCTATTATTTTATGCTATGGGTCTATTATCATATGCTGTGGTTCTATTATTATATGTTGTGGGTTATAATGATATACTCTGGTTCTATTATTATATGCCGTGGATTCATAATTGTATGCTGTGGATCTATTTTAAATGCCGTGGGTTCATAACTATATTCTGTGGGTTCATTATTATATGCTGTGGTCCTATTATTATATGCTGTGGTTCTATTATTATATGCTGTGGGTTCATAATTTTATATATATATATATATATATATATATATATATATATATATATATATATATATATATATATATATATATATATATATATATATATATATGTGTGTGTGTGTGTGTGTGTGTGTGTGTGTGTGTGTGTGTGTGTGTGTGTGTGCTGTGGATGTATAATTATTTTCAAAGAAAGTGGCCCCCATCAGCCACTTACCTCAAAATTCATTGGTATATTTTTATGTTACAAGCGAATATCGCATACAGAATGGGGTCTTTGACTTACAACCCATCGCATATTCAATGATTTATTTGTAAATATTTGCGTTGAATTCAAATATATAATTTTCTGGGATAAATTTGCTGTAGGCGAGGCTTAGACTGAGAAAATGCTATCGTCAATTTCTCTGTAAGTCGTATCAACAGCAGCCATTAGCTCCTCCAATTGCATATTTGTGTAAAGTCATGTTACATTATAGCTGACCATCAAGTACTCGTTGTGTGGTCGCAGAAGTTCACTCTTCAATTGAGGTCTGAGCTATCCCTAAAGTTTGTGCTCAAGTTATGTTTGCACTGTTAAATCATTTTTTTTTTCAAAATGTGTTGATTTTGTCCCAAATTTAATGCACTTTGAATTTTTTTTTATCAAAGTTGTAAGTGCTTTTTTTGAGATGTAATAAGTCTTCCTTGAGAAATAATGGTATTTTGCAGTATCTATTACTTGTAGTGGAATAACAAATTTCAGTTTCAAAATTGCATATTTTATGGATTATATATAATCTCTCCGTCCTCGCATTATTTGCTTTGTACAGAAAGCTATAAGTAATATCATCAAGGACACCGTTGCATTCATTTCAGCAATGCGCCCTTCAAGATTCTCTAAAATGGGATACAAAAATCAGCAGTTATATATTTTGAATTAATTGCCGTTTATACGGTTCTCTTTAATGTATTCGATTAAAGCATGACCACTGTGACATAATTTAGTCAGATTTAATTTCATTGAATCTGTTGCTATTAGGGATGGAATACCTTAACCTCTTTATTGTTAATTCAACAACCAACTTCTTCTGCTAGCTTCTGAATGCCTGACTTTCCCAAAGCTTTCAATTGCCTTCTATACCCTTTGGCTAATCCATTCCAAGGGTTGTCACGTCATTTCACTATTTGAAGTCTTTAATGCGTTTTACTCAAATGCCTCTTAACCATTACACCTGCACATTCCTATGTAAAACTTTGACCCACTGTGTTGACCCTGCCCTACCCTCAGTGGTCATGATTTGAACGAACTTGAATCTTCAATACCTGTGGATATTTCTGTATTAATTTGACTAATAATGGCTTTCCTGTTCTTGAGAAGAAGATCTTTAAAGATATTTCCTATATATTCCCATGGTAAACTTTGACCCCTGTTGTGGCCCTCCCATACCCCCAGGGATCATGATTGGAACCAACTTAAATCTAAACTATCTGAGGATACTTCTATTATAATATGACTGATCATGGCTTTGCTGTTCTCGAGAAGATTTTTAAGACATTTCCTTTATATTTCTATGTAAAACTTCGACCCCCTTTTGTGGCCCTACCCTACCCCCGGGGGTTATGATATGAACAAATCTTAAATGTAGAGTATGTAATGAAGCTTTCACATAAGTTTCATCTTTTCTTGCCAATTGGTTCTTGAGAAGAAGATTTTCAAATGCTGCCAACAAATTTTCTCTAATTCTTAATTATCTCCCCCTTTAAAGAGGGTGTGACACATCTTGTGAACAAACTAAAATTCCCTTTAATCAAGAATGCTTTCTGGCAAGTTTGGTTGAAATTGACTCGGTGGTTCTTGAGAAGAAGTTGGCTCAGGTGAGCTAAAAAGGAAAATTGATTGGTATATAATGGAAAATATAATGGTTCAGGCTGGATTTGAAGAGGTTTTGCAAACACGTATAAAATCACTCTCTTAGTTGTAACAGTTAATAAGCTGAATGAGCCTCTCGTCATACATATGCCTTCCTATATTTGTTTATTGGTTACATTGAAATAAACATTCAACAGTATGCATACTTCATTCTTTGATACGATAGACTTTAAAACAATATTTTTTTTCCTATGAACTATGCTTGCTTTCTTAGGTTATTTTTATTAGTCTTTCAACTTTATATTTAGGGCTATTGTTCCTTGAAAAAGGACCTTACCCTCCAGTTAAAGTCTCTCCATGGTCTTTCCATCAGAGGAGGTGGACCTCCGTCTTGTTTCGCTGTAACATACGAAGCATTGTAAATAGAACAAGTAAACTAATTATTCTGTGGCAATTAGAGGCCTTTCTACTTTTAGTATTTTCTTATTTGGATTGACAAAAGGAAGCAAAATGCAAGGAAATAAACAAACACAAAAACTACTAGCTATAGAAAATCATCGGGCGCGGTGTTCTTTTATGTTTGTTTGTTTAATTGTTTGCTTGTTGTTTAACGTCCCTCTCGAGAATTTTTCACTCATATGGAGACGCCACCACTTGCCGGTGGAGGGCTGCAAATTTTGACCCATGATCGGCACTTAGGGCCATTGAGCAGTGAGGGATCTTTTTCGTGCCTGCACCTACTGCGACACGGGACCTCGGTTCCTACGGTCTTATCCGAAGGACCAGTCTCCACGTCCCACAGTGAGATCAGAACCTGCGACGTAAGGATCAACTCCTTACTCCGCGACTCTAGAGCAGACGCTCTTCCACTGCGCCACGCGGGCGACTATACAAGATTGTGTGTTGTAAAAAAAAAGTTAAGAAAGATATGATTGGTGCATAATAAAAATGTTGATTCTCTGATAAACCTTTCTTCTGAGTTGTTTTTTGTTTTAAATGAATCAAGATAATCGGTTAAGAGCCTGTGAGAAACATAAGCTAGAAACACAAGGCAGATTGTAAATATGGAAAAGAAAAACTCAGAAGGTGGGTTCAGATTTTAACATGATATATATGGAGATAACAAAGAGTACTCAAGCTAAAAAGTTCATTAAACAATACAAAATAGGAGCAGAGCAAACACGGACCTCCAAAACATCAGAGGAGGGATCAGGTGCCATAGAGGAGTGAGCATCCCCTGCCGACCGGTCACACCCGCTGTGTGCTCCTTGTCATAATATAATAAATAATTCCGAAAAAATCCGCCGACAATCCAGTGTGTAATTAATGGCCTTACAATTATGAAAAATATCAGTCAGCATTTGACTCATTGTATCGACCATAGAACTTAAGAAATGATGACTTTAAACGAGACTGCTGATATTCTTGTTTCATTAACTTGTTTTTCAATAATTTACCTCGATTTAGAAATTGTACATACGTAGAGCATGCTCTTGCGTATTGAATCAACTGAGAGATATAAACTATATATAAACTAAGATATAAATTATGCAGGTGATGATGGTATATTGCTGCATAAGTAAGGGAAGTTGACGATTGAAAAGTTAAAGTCATCACGTTTATTATAAAGCTTGGTTGTTAGATTACCATTAACATATTTTTCAAGTAAAATATCCAAATATGAAACTGATGTGTCAGAATCTGTGGTATCTTTTATCTCAAGCTCACCGGAATATGTCTTGAAATCAACATGTAATATTTAAATAAACAGTTGTGTTAGCTGAATTCAATGTAACTAGTATAAATTAAATTCAAACATGCATTTCTAGAATGAAAACACGGCAATGCAAGTGTGCATTGCTTTTTTATATATCAAAATTTGCTACTTCTGGTGACTGTTTAATTTAAAAAATGAAATCAAATAAATTCCAAAGGCAAAGAAAGGAAGAATGCTTGGTATTAAAATATCGTATCATATCAGTAGACCTGCATGCTATTACAGTCCCTGAAACGTTCTTATTTCCCACTTGAACGGTGAGTGAACGCTGAACGAACGTAGAGCGAACGTTGAGTGAACGATGTGTGAACGCTGAACGCAACTTGGTGAACGGTGAGTGAACGCAGAACGCGAACGGAGCGCAAACGCGATTGCAAAGTGAACGGTGAATGAACGGTGAAAGAAAGATGAACAATTTATTTGGAATACCTCTAATCTTTTCTTTGCATTGCATCTTTTCTGATGTATTCTAGTCTCAGTTGCCAAAAAATAAATAAATAAACAATTCAATGAATAAATAAATATATAAAATCCAGATTTTTCCTAAGAAAGACGATACATACACATTAAGTAAAACTATTAATTAAGTTTCTTTCAAAATTTTCTTCACAAATGTATGATGTTTAAATTCAGCTGTGTTTAATCACACGATCTTTATCGCTGTAAAACATTGCAATTGTTACCGAACTCTGTAGTATAATAGCTAAAATTATTCTAGTTGTAAAATAGATATGTTTATTCTTATTTGATAAAAGAAAACCATTACAAATAATGTGGATTTTAGAAGAGGAAATTACTGACTTAAAGAATGAACTACAATGGGTATAACAACTATGCATTTATTCCGTGCCAAGGCGATTCTGTGTAAAATAATGAGAAAAAAAATTAAAATATTTTACAAAGGTCCGTGGACGTATTGCATAAATACACTCGTATTTTAAAATTTTAATGCAATAATAATTATATGTTTGTGTCATTTCTATGATTTATTGGGCAGACTTCTACATGTAATGATATAAAGAATCATTTATATTATTTGTTATAGATTAAAATTTCAAAACTTGGTCTTTAAATAATATGCTGTCATACTTTTGATTAAACAGACAAATGAGAGAGAGAGAGATGGGGGAATTCCGTTATAGCCCCTCCCCTCCCCCTACCCCAAATGCATAACATGTACCTGTGTCAAACAAAAATTCTTATTTTTTTTCTAAATATATCAGACAGTAAGGGCCGGTACACACGGTAAGGTTTGTCTTATAAGTCTAAAACCTTACGTTTTGCAGACCGTATGGCTCTCATGTCCACAAGTTAAGGCAAGACTTACAAGATTATAATCAGCATTTCCATAAATCCCACGTGTTTCCAGCCATAAAATAGTGCATTCGGTCATTGAAATAGAGGAATAGATTACTAGGTTTTGTAATAATTATACCAACAAGTATATTCACGCTTCTTAAAAAAAGAGGAAAATACTTTGTGTTCACTTCAATACATAGGCGTCGGAACCGGGGGGCTTAGCCCCACTTTCTTTGCAAAGATAGACATAAATTGGGGCTTACATTTTTTCTTTGGTTTAACCCCCCCCCCCCCACTTTCAATTAGCCACCCTACTTTCAATTTGCTTCCGACGCCTATGCAATATACCCACGTGTATGGTTTGATAAAAATAGAATGGTATTTGGGCGAATGATTTTCATTGGTTGAGGAGAAAATTTTAGCTAAGTCTCGTATTAGGAAGTAGAGCAGCGTTCTATTTGTAAGTCAGACTTGTAACAGGTTGGAGAGAATACTCGAAATCGGGTATTATCCGTGAAATCGCGTATAGTCCCCGAAATCGGGGTATCGTCGTATCCGCGAAATCGGGTATAGGCGGTGTAATCACCTTATAAAACTTAAACAATGGGATGGCGCATTTTGCCGAGTCAACTTTCACCTAGAGACAAATGTTATTTAAAGGTATCACTAGCCAAATAACAATTTGGAAGTCTGAATTAATGCGCATATGACAACAAATACCCGTGGAGCTTAGTACATTTCATGATCTGCACCCAAACAAACGTTCGTTCTGCTTTTATATTTTATATAATGTTAAATGTATTTGCATCTTCTTCATGTTCATACCCAACACAACAGAACTATTAAATGTCAGAAGTCTGGAATTTATAATATTTCCACATCAATACGACAAACATGAACATTTTGTAAATAATTCAATTTATACGGAAACACATTTCACACACAAAATAATCTGATTTAAACAGGTTTTTTTTTTTATCGTATTTAATTATGCGCCATTAATTGCTTTAACATTCATCTTGTGCATAAAAATAATTCATTACAAAATGTATAAACTATTTAATGGTTAAAATGTTTCAAATTACGGCAAAAACTAATATAACGCGTATATTATTTAGTATTTTTTCGGAGGGGGGGGGGTGTTATGAATCTATTTTCATCAGTTGATTTTTTTGTCGTTGAATAGCATTCCTTACATATATCTTGTACCAGTACATAATTATGAGAATGACAATTAAAGCTAATTTCCAGAAGTTATAAAAGGCGACATATTCTTTCTTATTTTTTTTTAAATTATTAAAATTTCCTTTGGATTCAACATGCCTCCAACGTTTTAGCAAAGACAATGATGTTCTCAGCAACATGGCTTGTGAGAGAAAATAACTGTTGATCAATTAATTTCGCTGAGTCGGCAATATTTTTCCATTTTTCGGCGACTTCAGGGGACGAAAGTGAATAGCTATAACGGTTGTTACTAGCTGCTTACATTAATTATTCCTTGTCTGGACTATCTCGGTCAAGCGAAAATTAACCTCGAATGTGTTATGCATGTGTCCAAGAGAGACATCCCTCTCTTTCAAAATAATCAAATTAAATGTAAAATGTTATTGTAGAGTTTTGTGCTAAACGTCATTGAATGGTATATATTCTTTGCATGATAAAGAGAGAAGATCTGTTCATCTAAAAATCATATTGATTCCCTATTTTGCCCTCTTGAGTGAATAGAATTCTTCATATCTCCAAAACATTCATGCAATAATTGTTTATATACAGAAACAATATGAGGTTAAAATAGAAACCTGTTATTTTCTACCACATTCGACAAGTTTTAAAAATAACTAAACTTCATGTTTATTTTTAACACATTTTTCACCATAGATGAATGATAACAAAAAGTGATAACCATGAGTAATAAGTATCACAGATTACAGAAAAGATAGGGAATTATGAAGTTTTAGTTCCCTGTCACGTGACGTACTGTCTAGAATCAATCAGATAACGTATTTTAGCATATTATAATGAGATTTAAAGCGATATAACCTAAAATAAACTACAGACTCTGAAGGGAAAATCTACCCTGTCTATCCAATACTATAATAATAATAATAAAAGAAAGTGTCTCCAATCTGTATGGATGATTAATTAAAAACAATGCAGCTCAAGATTTAAGCTAAGACGCGATTGAACACTCCACTTCAGTTTGTTCTTTTGTATAAAAAGTAAAAACAGTATATGTGAAAACTTTAATATATGATTCATATTTGAATATTAGCTCTATATTGAGAATGTATAATAAGCACATGAAAAGATGTGCGAATTGGAT